GTTTTGAATCATTCCTTTGAAGTTACACAAAAATCCTGTTTGATGTATATGTCTTACATTTTTGGAAGTTTGATAGTGTGATATCTTTTGACTGCAAGTTATTACCAGTGTGATTCTTTTTCTGGCAAGAAGGGGATGTGCTAAACAACACCTTGAAAGTAATTTGACTTAGATTGTATTCATTACTGGGAAGTTATAGCATAATCCTGTTTTGTACACCCTGGACAGTCCGTGTGCTAAATAACCCTTTGAAAGTTATGTGACCTAGATTTTATTTATTACTGGGAAGTTATAGCAAAATCCTGTTTTGTGCATATCCAGGAGAAAAGAGCTTATTTCTGGATTTATAATGGAGAGTGAGATATCTTTTGACTGAACGTGAGTGCAAGTGAGATTTTGGTTGTGAAGTCATGGAATGTTATTGGAACACTCCCAAAGTGATTTGGCATAGTTTTGAATCATTACATTGAAGTTACACAAAAATCCTGTTTGATGTATATCTCAGTTATTTTGGGATTATTTAAGTCATTTTTTCCTAGTTTGGATTCACTACGGTTAAGTTTGAGAAAAACTCAGGTTTGAGCATAACTTTGCCAACCGCAGTCATTTTTGGACTCATGTTGGAATGTGTGATGTCTTGACTGCACAGTACAATGAGTACAATCGAGAGTTTGACTGCGAATTCATGGAATGAATGATGAAGAGCACTTAAAAAGATATTTGATCTAGTTTGGATTCACTGCTGTAAAGCTAAAGAAAAATCCAACATCAAACTTTTTCTTTCATCTTTTTTAAATCTCATTTCCTTATTTTATCTATGGCCCGTTGCGTCTGGCAGGGTGGGGTGGCAGACACCCCACCCTGCCAAAAAGGCTAGTTTTAATATGCATGCATGCAGCAGGTTCATTTTACTTGACAAGATATCTCATGACAAGTTTTTTTCATTCTGAAACTAGATTGCTCTTATAGGGCTCAAAATAAGCACAAAATACTCATTTTAACTTGAAATAAGATTTGCTATAGCACATTAACAAGTATAATATACTTTAAACAAGCAAATGATACTCATTTAGTCTTGGCATTCCTAATTTTAATTCATATCATTGCAAAGAAACAAGAAAATATTTCACAACTTTAAGTGTTTAATTCTTGGATAGTATGAGCAATTGAAACAAGCAATCCTATCTTGAATCCAGATAATTAAAGCAATGGTTACGTTAAAACTATGCCTTTATCCCAGATCATACATCTTATATCGAACGGGACACACATAGATCACCACCATCACTACAAAAAATTGTCAACATTTATTGAGTCAACATCATGTGAACATTTGTTGGTTTCAGGTTTTTTTAACCACTTTTTAGTGATTAACTGTGCAAAAAAAACAAGCTGCAGTCAGCCCTCACTGTTACAGTAATTTCCAAAATCAACATTTTGTGGAAAGTGTGTGTGTTTGTGAGTGAGTGGATGAAAGAAAAGACAATGAAAAGTGCGAATGGCAAGGGCTGCACGAGACTGTGGTAAAACCGCCAACAATTTTTTGGTCAAACGGTACACTATTTCAAGATCACTTATGTGAAGTAATCCTTAAAAATATCCCTACAGCCAGAGAATCAAAATACCTTGCAGTTCTGAGGATAGGTTGTCATGCACACATACACAAAAAATAATTATAATACTTAACCAAACAAAAAAAATATGGCTGAGCATGACGCACACCTGAAATGCATGACAGGCACTTGAAACAGGCCTAGAGTGTGCAGTTACTTCTCAAACAATTATTTCCACTCAGTGATTGCCTTTTTATATGCACAGGTATCATCTCTGTCATGGATTGCATTCCACAATACATCTGTTTGAATGACCGAGAGCAGAGTTGCAACACATTTCGAGGTATCTTAAGTGCATCGTGTAATAGTAGGCCATTAACACCAACATGTGTCTGTGATTTTAACTTTTCGCAATTGTGGCAGAGCTTTGTTCTCCTCGGGTCAGCTTCTGTTAGAGGTCCCTAAGTCGAGACTTAAACAGTGGGGCGATTGTTCTTTTGCCGTCGCTGCTCCCATACTGTGGAACAAACTGCCCCCTGACATCCGCATCACCTCAGCCATTTCAAAAAGAAGTTAAGACCAACTTTTTAAAATCAGCATTTAATTCTGACTAGGGTAATACTGTCTCTTAGCTTTCATCCTTCTGTCTGCTCCTTTCTATGCATTGCTGGAAGGCTTTTAATGTCCTGCAGCGCTGCACCACTACAGCACTTTTAATTGTATCTGTATGTTTTGTTTGTGTTATGTATTGTTTCATGGCTTTGTTGTAAAGCACTTTGGGTACCTTTTGGCTATAGTAAAGGGCTATACAAATAAACTTGATTGATTGATTTATTGAATTGATGGATGCGAACAAGACTTCAGAGTTTTCAACTAATTCTATCGTCATCTTAAACAAACACACCCTGTGTATTTGGCCACCGGAATGCCACCAAGGGGATGGATGATAGCACTTACAGCTGCAGATGGGTCAGAAAGCTTTGGCAGGCCTAAATCTATTTTTTCCGAAGCCGCTCCTCCTGAAACCACGGACTCTGTGGAGGAACAGTCACATGACGATCAAATGGACACCCCGCAAACTCCACTGCCTGATCCCCTATATTGTGTCCAGGTAAGTTTAGGTATTATCAGTCATCAAAGAAATGATTAGGAACCCATGTTGAGAGGCGGATTTGCAGTTCTTAATGCACATCATGTGGTCGGCTTAGGCCAGTATTATTTCTCTATGGTAAGAAGAGGGCTAGCCAATGCAAATTAATGTAGACTAAAAGGTTATTTGAATCATGGATTCTCAAATTAGACTTGAGTATAGTTATTCTAAAATTGTGAATACAATAATTTGATGTGACTGAAACATCTTTTGTATTCATTTATTAAAGGAAAATTATGATTGTGGAACATCCCTGATATTGCCAGGTTTACAGCAGCGTTTGCAATCAGTGTGGGTAAACAACCTCACCTGTCACATGTCAGTTTTGCTGAAAGGATCCATGAATGTAATAATAATCGGAAGATTGATAATTGTAATAAATCTGAACGTTGTGCTTTTAATTTTGTAATAATTTGGAAAAAATTATGAACAGTTTATATCTTTCCACAGACGATCGTCAACCGTGTTATTGCTGATGTGCAACAGTACCAAGCGGCTATATTGGATATATTAAGTTCAAGAGTGAGCAATGTTTTTGACAGACATCCAGAGATGACCACGCAACTTCAACATGAGGCTCTAAATACTTTTGGTAGTTTCATAGATCCTTTTTCCACAATAGGATGTGGACAAATAGAACTATCTGAAAACTTTTCAGTCCAGTCAACTGAGAGGAAGTAGTAGTCTCTCAAAAGATTGGTGTAGTGAAGCAAGGCAGTTCAAAGGTCATGGCCATAAAAAACTAATGTATTTACGATGTGCCACTAATTGAATGTCTAAAGCAACTGGTGTCTAACTCCAGAATGTTCTCCATGTTGAACACTGTACCACAGAGAAGTAGAGAAGGATTCTTTTATGACTTTTCTTATGGAGCCCTCTTTATATCTCATCCTTTATATTCTGTAAGGCCTAATGTTTTTCAGATCATTCTGGACTCAGACGACATAGAAATTTGTAACCCCTAGCGCCACAAGCTTCTTCAAATAAGTTGCCAATGGTTTATTATAGTTTAGGCAATATTAATCCAAAATTCAGGTCTAAATTAACTGCAATACGACTCCTTGCTATCACAAAATCTAATGATGTGTCTAAATGTGGTGTTGATGCTATTTTAAAAAGATTTCTTAAAGATCTGCTCTACAATGCTGTTAAAATCAAAACGCATCATGGTGAAATGGACTTGTTGGGTGCTGTTACAGCTTGTATGTGGAGATACACTTATTCAACATGAGCTTGCAGGCTTTAAAGAAGGTGTTGGCTTTGCCTAAAGTAAATGCAGACACTGTGAATGCAACTTTGAGGATATGCAAATGAAAAACTCACGGAATTAATAGAAGATCAATCATGTGGGCAAACGTTTATATTGTTAGAAATACTACCTTTTCTTCTACGTGACTTTGACAATGAGTATGTTAAATGTATTATTAAGTTGATCGAAATTGTACAAATTGTACTTGCTCCCGTTATTTCTTTACAATCATTAATGCAGCTTAAATGTATGATTGAAAAACACCTTAGTCAGTTCAAACATTTATTACCTGAAATAGATTTAATACCTAAGCAACACTACATGTTACATCTGCCAAGTCAAATTCTATCAGCTATTAGTAAGAAGCATGTGCATGTCACTTGAGGCCAGGCGCAGTTATTTCAAACAGTGGGCTCCAAAGATGAACTTTAAAAATGTATGCAAGTCCCTTGCAAGACATTATCAACTTATTCAATGTTGTCAGAATAAAATTGGCATTGGCCATCCTATTTTTGCAACCAAGAGAGAATTAGGGCCCATTGCAGATATTTTTAATACTGATTATATTAAGGGCAAGCTAAGAATTTTTTTATATGGACATTAGTCTATCTGTTGTCTTTGTAAAGTGGATCATTCTCAATGGCAATAAGTATATGAGTGGGGAGTCTCTGATTATTGTAGATGTGAGTGATGAAAGAAATATTTAAAGACATATTTTTAGTAGATTTTTCTTTTGTTGCTTTTGAGTATCAGTGTTATGAAACATTGAATTTTGATAGACTAAATGAAGTGGCAGTTCCTACCCTTGCCCAGGCAACAGAATTGCTCCATGACGTTGTAGATTACACCTCGTATTTTTCAGTTGATACGTGTTATGAAACATTGAATTTTGATAAAGGTTTGTTGGCATATAAAGGGGCAGTTCCTACCCTTGCCCAGGCAACTGAATTGCTCCATTACTTTGTAGAGCACACCTCGTATTTTCCAGTTAATTTAAAAGATAGTTTTTTGTGCCAATGAAATATAGTCTGTGATATTATTACACACCGAAATGGGGATAGCATATCTCTGGATCAGATGTCTTGTGAACTATACGTTCCTTTGCTATAGCTAAGTGATGTGTTGGCTGGTTATGTTTAGTCTATCTAATTCAACATTAAAGTACAAACTGATTCTGATATTTTTTTTAATTTAACAATTGAATACAAAATTTAAGAGGTCTATACTAGGTAAGATACGGAAGGTAATATCATGCTAAATTTCGAAATATACAGTGGGGCAAAGGTTTAGAAATGAGTAAATCACACTTGAAACAAGATAACCCATCGTATATGTCCTGGTATAAGATTATGAACATTGGTAAGAAGACAAAAATTTCTAGTGCAGACAGCCAGACCCCCGAAAGGCCCTTTCGGATGCTTGGGTGGGGGGCTTCTGCAGGGTTTGCGGGGTTTGCTGGGGCTTGGGCTCGCTGGGCTTTGGTTCCGGTTCTCGGCCTGTGTCTGGGGGCCCATGCCTGGTAGGGGCTTGTGCGCTGTCGCTCATGGTTCTTGGGGGCCTCTGACCTATGGTGCTGTGGCACTCTTCTGGGGTCTTCCCTGGTTTCCTTCTGGGTTGGTGCCTGGTTGTATATGTGCTTGTCTTCCTTGGATCTGTGCTCGGGTGGTTGCTGGTGGACTGAGTCTAGGGACACTTTCTTCGGAGCACTTGTGGGGGGGGGGGCTCAGCTGGTGGCCCCCCTGCACCATAACTGAGCACAATCCGGGAAACCTGGTGGTCAGTTACCCAGACACACGCCTCCTTGATCTACTGTACAGTTGCTGCACAGTTCTCAGAAGCTCACTAATGTCCCTGCTACCAGTGTTGTTGCTTTTTTTGTTTGTTTGTTCTTTTTTCTTCCCTGTGTCCATTTGCAGGAGCTCCTATAGGTTCATTTGCCCACAAGAAACAGTTTCTTTTGTACAGACATAACAGCTGGTTTTGTTGTCTTTTTTTTTTTTTTAACCTTTTATCTAATGGATCTTTCTCCTTTTATTCCTTTTCCGATTTTTTTTATTTTTTCTTCCCTTTCCTTTTGTCAGGTTCGGCATTATTGGACACGTGTAAAGTTTGGTAACAAAAATAAATAAATAAATAAAACAGTTTTGGGTAATCAAGGGGGGTTCTTACCAATAAGCCTCCCTTGCCAAAGCAAATGTGTTCAGCATAGCACGGTACTCAGATTTCAGTTCCGCTGCCATAATGCTGAACAGGACAAGGTAAAAAAAAAAGAAAAAAAGAAAGAAAGAAAAAGAACCACTTACAAGCACTTTTACCTAGTTTTGAACCATCACCTTGAAGTAACACAAAAATCCTGTTTTGTGAGAACTGCTCATTTTTGGAGTAATAAAGGAAAGTATTATATCTTTTGACTGTAATAAAATACAAACACTTTAACTCAAAATCACATTGGTCAGCCCCAAGAATAAAAAGGTTTCAATTGACCATATGAGGGAAAACAGTGTTCCTAAATTCAGCATTATTACTCCACCAAAACCCTGAGTATTTTCTCATGCAAAGTCCGTTCTGTCCTTGTTTTCTTGTTGTGTATGTGTCACAAAGTGGCAGTTTCAGACAGTTGATGCTTTAGTTGGGAGCCGTATCCAGGGGTTACAGACTGATCATGTAGGAAATCAATTGTTGGTTGAGGGGAGCAGCCAATTGGTGGGATGATGCTTGCATCAGTTGCAAAGGCTAAGACATCGCTTAGCTTTGAGGCTCTACTCTCCTCTACTACACAGAAAAAACACATGACAATGTACATAAAATATCCCATAAATAGGTACATATGCTTTGTCTTAAGACAGAGCCATATGAAACACTAATATGTATTTATTTAACCTCAACTCCAGCAAGTAATCTCTCCAAAATGGCACAGCACGTTTATGTACCATTCTCCTTTGCTTACCGGTACAGAAAGTCTAATTTGGAAAATCTGATCCATTCAGTGAGCTGTGAGTTGAGGTGATTGATGGCACAGCCAACCATCAACCAGCCAACCATCACCCATCTAAAAACCATCTAAAACTTCCCGGGTACATCCCCATGGCATCCAGGACACCAAGGGTTTTTAGTGCCTCTTTATCTCAACAAAAAAAAAAGAAATCCTTCAAACGACTAATTTAAAATGCAAGCAGAGGTTAAAATTACATCTAGGCTGCTAAAACGTGAAACGTCTGAAATAATTGTGTTTAAATCTGTTAAATACATTTTTTAAAACAGGTTTTGTTTACAATATCTAGCAAAAAGTTGTTTTGCTGCCCATCTATATGATGAGAATGTAATTGTAATTGTAAGGACACTACAGAAATGAAGGAGCTGCTAAATGCATGAGTTGTTTTGAAACCTTCTCTTATTTGATTTAAATGAAAGTGTCCGATTCATTGTTATTCATTGTATGTATGACCTTGCATTTTAGGATGAAACTGTTGTAAAAGCTAACAGTCATCTTTACAATAAAAAAATTCTGAGTTGTGTTACAAAGCCCCATGTACTCTGTGCACATCACATGAGGATATCTTGTACTAACAGATCTCTATCTTCAATGCATTTCAATGGCCTAACATTTGCCAAATAATCTTGCAGTGATTCCATGGCAGACATCTGTTCCTCAAAAGATGTATATTCAGATACCTAAAAGCAGCACACGATATAAAGACAGAAGAAAATGCAATAGCACAGCTGAATATAATGTTTATTTACTCACTTAATATTCTGACATTTTTTACTTTCTCATAGAGGTCAGCACCAGCAATGTCCTCCAGAAAAGACTTTATCATGGAACTGTCACCGACCAGATGGGGAGCACAGAGCTCATCTAAAGGTGGAGGGTCGCCATGCAGTAGGCTGACAGAAATGGCCTGCCCAGCAATTGAATATCGATCCTCTCTTAAAGCTAGAACAAACACGTCATAGAGTGAAAACGTCTCTAAAAAATACAGTATAATTAGCACAAAAACAATGTGCAATAAAAGCTCAGTATGTGACATCCAGTAGGTGGCGGTGCAGGACAACAAATTACAGACAGATTTCACAACAAAACAAGCCAGAACATTTAGTTCCAGTTTATGAACTACAACGTTTGTGTGACCCCTGTGTAATCTGCGTTCGCACCATAGGAATGTGTTTGTGAATTTCATGAAACATTTTAAAAGTGCCATGATGTCTGAGCTGAAATATTTGAAGTTAATAGAAGCAGTAGACAAGTTTGAAGGCCATTCCAATGCATTTTCAATTGGACAAATATGGCAGACATTGTAATATTTCCAAAATGTTTAAAATGCTGTTTTTCAAATACCCTGAGAAGAAATAAAAATCAATAGTGTTACAAACTACAACTACCTAGTTTTCTGTGTAAAATATGTTAACACAATCAAAGCTAGTTTCTTCAAAACATAGCAACGCTGCTATGTTTTGGCCAGTGCTAAGTATAAAATTTATCAGAACAAAAAGTACTGTTTGATAGATTTGTAAGAAATAATTTAGTATGTAAAATGAAAAAGATTTAAATAAATGATCATTGGTCAGGCCTTGCCCATTCAAAAACAAGCTGTCAATGGAACACTGAACTAAATATATAGCAAATCCAAATTTTCATCAAGTTGCTAGCATAAATGTTCATGAAGAAACTAATTAAAACAATATTTGATTAATGGGCTACATACACATGACTCTCAAGACTAGCCATCATAGCCGTGTTTAAATCCACATCTATAAATCAAAAAAATCAAACCATTGGTATAAAGACAGATAGCCTACAGCAATAATATATGCACAATGAAAACAAATTAAAATAAGAGAAAAAAAATTGTTAATAAAAAACTATAATAATTATTGGTAAGTTAGTTTTTAATACAACTGTACATCAGACAGCTGTTGGCCACATGAAACACTGGTCGCGGTCACCGTTGACAACAAAACTTCCAGTAAGTGAGGCTGCATTCAATACAACTCAGAAACACAGGTTAACCCGACCTATACTGGTTTAAAACGGGACACGCTGTTTAATCTTCAAATATGCTACTGGTAAAGCTATGGCAGTTGTGATAGTTTGCACAGACATTTTTTTTCATAAAAATGGGTAATTTTACTTTATTAAATTACCAGCAATGGGCTTCCTTGACTTGGAAGCCCATTGCCAAAGTACTATTTTAATGACAAGAACAGGGTCTTCACTTCGGGGACAAAGAGGAGCTACATAGACTCCAGAAAGACCATATGATCATGAAGGGGAAGGACTGCTACAGGAAGAAACTGGAGAGGTGGCTGGAGTAGAACAATGCCAGGGACGTCTGGAGAGGGCTGCAGACCATCCCAGGCCAAGATAAAGGAGTGAAGGGTGACCATGCCAGCGGGGACAAAGACAGGGCAGATTAGCTCTATCTGTTTTTGAACAGATTTGACTCTTCTCACTCCCTCACCCTTCTAAGCCATTCTCCACCTTTACTGGCCAGCACTCGCCGCCTCTCCACTCCTCAGCCAGCCATGCCATTACCTGACCCCATCAGTTCATCCCCTCACCAGTTCACCCTCCCCTTCTAACTGACTACCTCACCAACAGACCACCACTAACACCACTCCAGCACTATGTATCTGATGATGTGCTCTGCAGCATGGGAGCCCCTCAGGGTACAATGCTTTTCCCTTTCCGCTTCACTCTCTGCACCTCGGACTTCACCCACAACACTGCAAACTACCACATCCAGAAGTTCTCTGACGACATAGCCATTGTTGGTTGTGTCTCAGAAGGGTACAACGTGGAATACAGGACTTTGTCAGCTGTTGTGAGCACAACCAGCTTCAGCTCAACACCAGCAGGACAAAAGATGAGAAATGATCATGAACTTCAGGAGGAATACACCTGTCTTCATACTGGTGAACATTCATTGATCAAACATAGAGGGGAAGGACAGCTACAGATTCCTGGGTGTTTACCTAACAACAAACAGGACTAGACTGTAAAAACTAACAACATCTACAAGACGGGGCAGAGTTGCCTCCACCAGCTAAGGAGACTGAGGTCAGTCAAAGTGTATAGGACTCTTTTAAATACATATTATGACTCTTAAGTGGCCTCAGTAATTTTTTATGCTATAGTCGGATGGGCAGGGGGCAGCACGGACAGGCTCAATGAACTGATCAGGAGAGCGAGCTCTGTCCTGGATTGTCTTTTGGATTCCACAGAAGTAGTGGGGGAGAGAAGGATGTTGGCTAAGCTCAAATCCATCATGGACAACACCTCTCACCCCCTACATGACATTGTGGGATCCCTGAGCAGCTCCTTCAACAGCAGGCTAAAACCCACTGTGTAAGAAGGTGAGATACCGAAGGTCCTTCATCCCAACTGCAGTCACGATATATAACACCTGCACTGTCTGTTCCTTGTTGTAGCCTCAGTAGTCAAATGGTCATTGTAATATTTTAGTAAGTCCACTTGTAACCTTTATTTATGGATTCACTGGACTTGTGCTTTTTTTTGTGCCATGGTTAGGTTGAGAGGATCCACTACACCCTGATACACCTGGCGGTCCAGGTCTGAAGATCCGATGAATTTCCTCATCAACCACACTATGTGAGGGTTTGACATTTCTGACATTGTTATTACACCTCTTAAGAGGTTAAAACGTTATTCAAAGTCCCACTACCTCATTGATACTGTCCCAGTCAACAATTTTATAATCAAATTAAATTTTAAATCAAATTAAAACATCAATACTTGATTATCCCAGAGATCCCACCATAGAGAGACACCGCAATAAGCCAATTACAACTGAAAATTGAATCAATCTCTCTTACAATACTACTATACTCGCAGCAACATAGTAGTGCATGTTGTAGGAATGATATGCATTGTGTGCATCTATAATAGTTTGTAAGAGAGTTAGTCCGTGGGCCAGAATCTGTACGACGTCTCCTTAAGCAATTCCGTTTGAACTTTTAGGGGGCAACTTTCTTTCACTTGGATAAGTTGCTAGAGACTAGAGTGATCTTAAAACGCCAATGTTCCCACCCTTTCACTTGCACATTAATAAGTTATAGTCGATTAAAAATATAATTTTTCGCCGTAATCTAAGAAATCGCGAGATCCGAGTTTTGCTTATCAGCCAATCAGATGGCTGAATCTCAGCGCGAGTGCTCGGTTATTTAAATATGGCAGCGCCCGTGAAATGTTTTTTGCACTTGTTTCAATACGAAGAACGTCCAATTATTTCATTTTCTGGTGCCGGTTGGCGGCGATTTATTGAAAGTTGCAAGTCCTGGATAGACCTGGATGGCAGGAAGAAACAAATAGCCGAAACGTTCTCTCAGTACACAGTTGAGTCGCCGGGACCCGCTGAGCTGGGGAACCGTAGGAAGTGCTACTCGAAGTACACGGACAAAACAAAAATTGGGAGAGCAAGTAAACGTGTTGTACGCGAACGAACCCAAAGCAATCTTTGCTGTCATTGCGAAAGAAGCTTATACCAGACTTCTTCTTCATGCAAAGCATGCTTATTTGGAATATAAAGATATTGTTATCTTGAGCCCAGACACTGATGTCATGGTCTTGGCTTTGGGTTGTGTGCATTGTTTTGAGAGTATTATCTATTTTAAGACAGGGACTGGCAACAAAACTCGTATTGTTAATATTTCTCATCTAGCAAGTCTTCATGGTCCAAGGAAAGGTCTAGCTTTTGTTGGTCTTCATGCTTTTACTGGATGTGACATGTTAAGTGCCTTTAAAGGGAAAGGAAAAGTTAAAGCCTTAAGTCTGATGCTTGAATCAGAGCCAGCTGTTAATTGCTTCCAAATTCTTGGGAGAAATTGCGATGTTGATGATAAATTGTTCATTCAGCTTGAAGAATTTGTCTGTCACTTTTATGGACAGAAAAACTGGGTTAATGATGCCAGGTTTAAAATGTTCTCTTCTCTGTAAATCAGATAAATCTTTTCCACCAAATGATGTTTGTCTTTGACAACATTCTAAGCGAGCTGCATACCAGCTAGCAATTTATAGAAGGTGTTTCAACCAGTTTATAAACGCCCCTAACCCAGAAGGCCATGGCTGGTCCTTTGAAGATGGAGAGCTCTCCTACTGTTGGATGGTAAATCCCCCAGCTCCATCTGATGTCACCATGGACATGTCTTGCAAGTGCAAGACAAATGCATGTGCTACACAAATCTGTCTATGCAAAAGGGCTCATTTGCCATGTAGTGACCTCTGCCAATGTGTTAACTGTGCAAACTGTCCTGCTATGATTGAAAATGAGAATGATTATCAAATGATAATGAGGACTTGGATGACTCAGATGATGAGTTGTGATGTTTTTCATATTTGTTGTAAGTTTTTGATGAAAATATAAAAGATATAAATATGTGAGGTCTGGATTTAAATAATATGATGTAAATATGATATGTTTGGATTTAAATAGTATGATGTCGCGAAGAAAGGTTAAGAAAGAAATAATATAACTGTAAATATGAGGGGTTCAGATTTTTATATTAGACATAAATATGGATCCTTAGTTTTCATTGACAGTGAAAATGATATATTATTCAATTTTTTATACCAAGGTTTACTTGTGATAGTAGTTTTTTTCTCTCATTAAGTTAATAAATGCAATATGATGGAAAGTGAAGTGTCAGTTTTTCGATAATTAAATTAGTAAGAAATTATTGGACCAAAAACAAGGGTTTTGCATATTAAATTATTGTTTTTTGTCTTGCTATGGCTGTATAAAGTGGAAAATATGTAGTATTCAGGTTCAGGGGCCCCCTGGCAGCGAAAATAGAAACTAAAGGTCTAAATTGCATTTCCATGTTGATTCCATCAGTATTTGCATAAAAAAAACTTTTCTAATGATCAACCTTAATGATTTTAAAGTATTTTTGGTAAAGATCACTTGGTTAAAACCAAAAATATGGGAGTCACGTGGGATCGCCGAGCAAGATGGCTGCTCACTAAATTTGTCCATAAGCCACACCGGAAAAATGTAACTTATCCGTCCATATCTCTCTTATAATTTTGCTTTTTGGAAATCGTCAACAACCAGCCATCATTTTTATTTAATTTTCATCAGGAAATATAGCCTAGCACAATGTCATCCTCGAAATGTTCCAAGGGAACAGGCACGCGTGGGAAGCCTGCCGTGGACAGTGACGTTAGCACTCCACAGAATACGAGCATGGATAAACTTCTGGCTGAAGTGACTAAAATGGGTACCACGCTCAAAACAGTGGCTACTGATGTGTCAACTATCAAAGAAACGACAACGGAATTGAAAAACGCTGTTAGTGCCATGCAAGTAAGACTGACTGAGGCAGAAACCAGAATATCCGACGCCGAGGACACCGTACAGCAATTGGCCCGCGACCGCGAACTACACAGCCAGCGAATTGATGCGCTGTGGAGCCGCATAGAAGATTTAGAGAACAGAAGCCGTCGTAATAATATTAGGATGTTGGGCTTGAGAGAGGGCAGCGAAGGGGACGACATAAAGGCATGCATTGAAAAGATCCTAACTGAGGGCCTAAAGATTGTCATTGATGGTGAATTTGAAGTGGAGAGGGCGCATCGTTCTCCAGCCGCACGCCGAGATGAGGACCAACCCCCGAGAGTGCTCATGATCCGGTTTTTGCGCAGCTCTGGAAGAGATAAAGTTCTCAAAGCGGCGAGGGAGAAGAACGGAGCAACTTGGAATGGGTGCAGACTTTCGTTTTTCCCTGACATGTCGAAAAGTCTGGCTGATAAAAGAAAAGCCTTCACGCCGGCCAAACGACTGCTGCACGCAAAGAAGGTGAGATTCACACTCGCTTTCCCTGCGATACTGAAGTTTTCCTGGAGGGGGCGGAAACTAAACTTTCAAGATGCTACGGAGGCGGAGAAATTCATCCAGCAACGTGTTACGGGGACGGAATTCGAGGAGGGAGATGATGACGGTGAACATTAATGCAGCGATGGTTATTCGACTACTACTGAGAGACTTTGAAAAAGGTATGGTGTGGCCGGATGGTTGGTGTGGCTATCTTAAGCTAGGACACTAGTCGGACGTTCCACAGACCAAATAAGGAGTTTTTTTTCGGTTTTTTTTTTTTTTTTTGTTTTTTTTTTTTTTTTTTTAAATTCTTTTTTTTTATTTTTATTTTTTTTTTATTATTATATTCTATATATATATTCTATTTTTAATTTCGTTGGACACTTGGACTCATTTTTAAGGAAGAGTCTCCATTTTCTAGGAGTCTCTAAAAGTGGGAATATGCTTTCACCTTTTTTTGAGGGGGGGGTTGTGTTGACCAGTTTGGTCGTATTTGTTCATTTAAAAGTTAAGGATACTTTGAAATTACTCAACGAATGTACAACAGCTTTGAACATGGAACAAGTTTATGAGGGTCAGACACGTTACAACTATTTTTGTATGCCAAATATTTGCTTTTTAATTTTTTATTATATCCTGAATGGCAAATAATTCTTTTGTTAAGGTTGTATCCTGGAACATTAATGGATGTGGAAACCCAGTAAAACGGAAAAAGGTACTTTCATATCTCAAACTGCAACAAACAGACATAGCATTTATTCAAGAAACTCACTTAAAAGATGATGAGGCCAGAAAGTTTAAAAGAGATTGGGTGGGGCAAGTTTTCTTTAGCTCCTTTTCTACCAAGAAAAATGGTGTTCTTATTCTGGTACACAAAAGGCTAAATTTCTCACTAGTCAGGGAATATGCAGATAGTAATGGTAGAATTATTTGTATTGACACTATCATAAATGGCATGAAAGTAACACTTTGTAATATTTATGCCCCTAACAAAGAAGAGCCAGCTTTTTTCCATGAGGTTAATAACATTTTGGGGAATGCACATGGACAGGTAGTGTTGGCTGGAGACTTTAACCAGGTTCTGGACAGTGCTTTAGATAAGAGTAGATTTTCAGGAACGGCAGTGCCTAAGGATAGAGCAGCTATCCAGGTGTTAATGAAAGATAATGGTTTAATTGATATATGGCGTATGGTTAATCCAAGTAAGAGGGAATATTCGTTCTACTCCCACAAATCCTACTCGCGGATAGATTTTATATTGATGTCTAATGGGCTAATCAATGATGTCATCGACTGCAAAATTAATGCCATTTCTTTGTCGGATCATGCGCCCGTTGAACTCTGTGTTAAAATACATCCAGAAAAACTCAAACGAGGTAGATGGAGGATGAATACCTCCATCCTTCAAAATGACATTTTTCAGAAGGAATTGGCAATAGATTTGTCATCATTTTTTGAGATAAACATGGGTAGTACGGACAGTGTTGCTATGGTGTGGGAGGCGTCGAAGGCATACATCAGAGGCAAAATTATAGCGCATACCTCTAGAATAAAAAAAGAACACACCAATACAGTCAAAAAATTGGAGGCAGAATTAATCATAATGGAAAGAAAACTGGCAGAACAATATTCTGATAGGCTGTTAAATGATATTTGGAAATGTAAATCTCAAATACAGGAAATATTCAATAGAAAGGCAGAATATGCTCTGTTTAGACTAAAAACAACATACTATGAGGCGGGAGAGAAGACAGGGAAGCTCCTGGCAAGACAGCTAAAAGAGGTCAATTCTGCACATGCAATCCCTGCCATACGGAAAGATGGGGCACTTGTAACATCTCCCACAGAAATTAATGAGGTCTTTAAAACTTTCTATGAGAAGCTATATTGTTCAGAAGGTGAGCCAAGTAATCTATCACTACAGAACTTTTTCCACAAAATAACTCTCCCAAGGTTGTCAGCCGAACAGGCATGTAATCTGGATAAACCAGTGTCCCAGGAAGAGGTGAAGAAGGCCATCCAATCTATGAAAGTAGGGAAGTCACCTGGAACCGACGGATTCCCTGTGGAATATTATAAACAGTACATGGATATCCTTACACCAGTCTTGACCAAAGTGTATGACGAGGCCTTGCATACTGGTTCCCTCCCACCATCTCTGAATGAAGCACTTATTTCCCTAATTCCAAAGAAAGACAGAGATCATACAGACCCTGCCAACTTTAGACCTATTAGTCTAATTAATGTTGATAGCAAAATACTTGCCATGGTGCTTGCCCTGAGACTAGAAACAGTATTGCCAGACCTAATACATCATGACCAGGTGGGTTTCTTACAAGGTAGATCTTCTACTGACAACCTAAGAAGACTGATGCACCTCATGTGGTTGAACTCCTCCAGCACTGCGCCAGTGGCAGCCATGTCATTAGACGCGGAAAAGGCGTATGACAGGGTATCGCTGGAGTTCCTTTACTCAGCCCTGTCAGAGTTTGGGTTTGGAACCGGTTTCATGAAATGGGTTAAAGTATTGTACAGTGATCCAAAAGCGGCGGTTATGACTAATGGCGTGACCTCACCATTTTTTAAACTCTCCAGAGGAACACGTCAGGGGTGCCCTCTTTCACCATTGTTGTTTACAATTTTCTTGGAACCTCTGGCAATAGCCATTAGAGCAAACCCCGCCATTAAAGGAGTACATGGAGGTGGAAGTGAGCATAAATTAATGTTATATGCTGATGACATTCTATTTCTGACTTGTGACCCGCAAAACTCCCTACCTGCCCTAATGCAAACTATCAGTGACTATTCCCAGATCTCAGGTTACAAAATCAATTGGACCAAGTCTGAAGCAATGCCAATATCCAAACATTGTCACCCACAAATAATTGCACAGTACAATTTTAGGTGGATTCCAAAAGGTATGGTATACCTGGGCATTAAGTTGTGCCCAGACCTTGGTGAGATTGTTGCGTTGAACTATGATAAGCTACTTCAAAAAATCAAGACAAACATAGGTAAATGGGGAAAGCTAAACCTTACCCTATGTGGTAAAATAAATGTTGTTAAAATGGTGATCGCCCCCCAGTTCAACTACATATCCATGATGCTCCCTCTTAGTATACCTGAAAATATATTTAAACAATATGACAATCTCATCAAGGAATTCCTTTGGGCGGGGAGAAAGCCCAGGTTTAAACTGGATAAGCTCTATGCACCCAAGGATAAAGGCGGGCTGAGTTTACCTAATGTTAGATTGTACAACGTGTCTTTTGAAATGTCCAAGATAGCTAAACACTGGAGTGGAGATGCGTCCGAATTAAATTGGGTCAATATAGAACAGACTCTTGCCACACCATTTCACCACAAACAGTTGTTATCCCAACAGGTAACTGGCATAGTGGAGGACAAAAATCCAGTCGTCCAACACTCTAAGGAAGTGTGGGCAAAGATCCACAAGCTACACAAACTCTCACATTACAAACAGCAGTATTCCTCATTGTGGCTCAATCCCGAAATTAAAATAGGTAAACGCACTGTGTTTTGGAGAAAGTGGGTAGAAAATGGAATCCACACTATTGGTGACCTTTTCAGTGAAGGTATTATTAAATCATTTGCTCAACTTGTACAGGAGTATAATCTGCAAGAAAAGGGTGACTTCTGGAAGTACTTGCAGATTAGACACTGTATATTGAAAATAAATCTAACAACAAAAGAAGACAATGTAATTTTGCAGCTTCTGCAATTGCCACTTAAGCATGGGGCTTCTGTGTTTTACAATAAAACAGTTTGTTTGACCAGTAGCTCATGTGAAAACTTAAGATTGATCTGGCAAAGAGACCTTGAATGCAATATAGACAAAGACACATGGGAACAAATATTGGCCGATAATGGTAAATATATCAAAGAAGTACGGTGTAAATTTATTCAGTATAAAATTCTACATAGGTTCTACTGGACTCCATGCAGACTTTTTACAATAGGACTAATAAATAGTAATATATGCTGGAAGTGTAAAAAAGAAACAGGAACTTTTCTACACCTTATATGGGAATGTACCTTGGTTAAACCATTCTGGGACAAGATAATTAAATTCCTAGGGACATGGATGGACATAACTCTCCCACTGTGTCCGCGTCTATGTCTTCTTGGAGACAAAACAGAAATACCACAGCTCACAAAAGAGGTACACTCAGTGTTGATGGTTGGGCTAACCTCAGCTGCAAGAGTTATATTGAGACACTGGAAGGCACCCGAACACCCCACATTCCAGGAATGGAAAGTGGTAATGGCTGAAACAGTTTCATATGAGGTTATGCTAACTAGACTGAGAGGCAAAGGACAGGTGGTGTTAAATAATTGGTATTTCTTTCAAGTCTACCTGACCTCTCAGTAGCGACCCTTTTTTATTTGATCTTTTTCACCTACTTATTCTTTAATTATTATTATTATTATTTGTTTTTTGTTTTTCCTTCATCATCCAGGAACACCGTCTATTTTTGCTTTTATCCTTATAGTTATGTTAATTGTCTGACCATGTGTTTTAAGCTGTTACTTTTTGTATACTATACCATGCAAGCTTTGTATCGTAGTTATTTGATTGTTTAAAGGAAAATAAAAAAACTTGAATAACAAAAAAAAACCAAAAATATGGAGATTTTCTTAGTTTTAGCCACCTATAGGCCAGATGTGGAACTACCGAAATTTTAATTGGCCGTAATTAATTAATGTGCAAGTGAAAACGCGGGAACATTGGCTTTTTGAGATCACTGAAGTCCAAGGTATCTAACTAAACTGGAAGAAAGTTGCCCCCAAAAAGTTCAAACGGAAAGTCATCGTACAGATTCTGGCCCACGGACTATTTGCGCTTTGTACAGTATTTTGCACATCTTACAATTTAAAGGTAAATTCTAAATGTAAAGGTAATTCTCAGTTACCCCTAGGATCAAACAAACCGTCCCCATTTTGTGCCACAAAAGTTTTTTACAATTTTTTAAAGAATTTAATTTATTACAATTTTCAACTTTTACAACAACATAAATAAAAAATACATGTTTAGCAACATAGAAGGAAAATACTTTAAAAAAAAACAGAAACAAAACGAAATTGAAGAAAAAGAAAGAAAGAAACAATAGGGAGAGAAAGAGAAAGAAAAAAAAACTCTTACCTCTATATTACAAAATATGAAGCCTATGCATCTTGTACATCTTGCTGGCTTTCCAAGAAGTCTGTAAATTGTTCCCATACTTTGCAGAAACTTTGTAGCTTCCACTTTTTAGTATAAGTCAATTAGCCAGAGTGTTAGAGAGGGTCTTGAACCAAACATTGACAGACGGTGCTTCCATAGCTTTCCATAACAAAGCAATACAGTGTAGTGAGCCATCTTTTTCTTTATCTTAAGTCTGCTGGGTCAAGTCCAAGAATAAACAACTTAGGATAAACGGGCAGTCTGGTGGAGCTAATGTCAGAGACTTGTTCTATTACCTTTTCCCAAATTCCCTAATTTTATGGCAAGTTTGCCCTCCTCTAGACCACACTTAATGCAGAGGTCATGGCTGTTGTTGTTGCAAAAGGGAAGGAATCATATATGTACGCATAATCCATTAATACTGTATACGTTTAAATCTAGTTATGATAGTTTTAGTCTGTGCTGTGTGAGACACCATTTTCCATTCATCCTCTGAAATTTCTGTTTCCATGTCACTGGACCGCTTCATTCTCTTGTCATTTGAAGATTCATTGGAGTTTTCCAGAATTAAGCTATTAGTAAGAGAAACCTGACAACGTCTGTGCATATGATTTAGTACAGCCTTTTCAAAACTGGACAGTGGTGGTTTGTTTGTCTGTTGTTTCTATTCATTCAAAATATAACTTCTAATTTGCAAATATTTGAAGAAGTGGTTCTGGGTACATTGTAAGCACCATGTAATTCCTCAAAGCTATACAATACCTTACCTTGCTGTTGCCATGGCGGCGCGCATAGACGCAGCGGCTCACAGCTCTCCGTATTAGTGCTTTTTTAATGTTTAATGTTTATCTTTTGTGTTTATCGTATATTGTTTGTTCGTTTACACACATTATGAAACAATACAGCCGTCTGGATTTACTGGACATCGGTTTCAAATTGAAGATGACCATCTCCAGCGACTTTCACCGAACTCACAACATTCCGGACGAAATAGCGAGACCAACGGGATCCCCGTGGATCGTTAACGGGTCTGTCAGGCGACGCAGACGGAGATGCGAGAGGAAACAAAAACGAGGTTGCAGGGCTGGTTTACTGCTAAAACTAAGAAAACAGCCACTCAAACCTCCGTTGCCGAGCCTCTACCTTACAAACGCCAGATCCATTGTACACAAAACGGACGATTTGGAATTACAGTTGGCTGGTAACCGTTATGTTCGCGATTGCTGTGTGCTTATCAACAGTGACTCCGGGAAGAACAGAGGAGGCGGGCTCTGCATCTACGTGCATGATGGCTGGTGTAACAACAGCACGGTCTTGGACAGACACTGTTCTCCTGATCTGGAATTTATGTCGGTGAGATGCAGACCCTTCTTTCTGCCTAGAGAGCTAGCTGCTGTTGTCATCACTACAGTCTACATACCACCAGACGCTAATGTAAACATGGCTCTCTCTCTACTGCTAAATGCCATCAATACCCACCAGCGCGCCCACCCCAGTGGAGTCCACATCATTGCAGGGGACTTCAATAAGGCAAATCTAAAGACTGTATTACCAAAATTCCACCAATATGTAAAATGCCCTACAAGAGGGGAAAACACTCTGGATCATGTGTATTCCAACATCAAGCATGCGTACAGAGCTGTACCCCTTCCCCACCTGGGCCAGTCAGACCACCTCTCCCTGCTCCTAACTCCAGCATACACCCCTCTCAGTCGACAAACAAAGCCCACAAAGAAGACCATCACCACCTGGCCTGAGGACGCCCTCCCCCGACTACAGGACTGCTTCGAAAATACACAGTGGGAAGCCTTCTATCACGAAGACCTGGAAATATTCACAGATGCAGTACTGTCCTACATCAAGTACTGTATTGGGAATGTCACTGTTGAAAAGAAGATCTGGGTGTTCCCAAACCAGAAACCCTGGATGACGCGCCAGGTCCGTATGCTCCTCCGGGCCCGTGACTCAGCCTTCAGGTCAGGCAACAGAGCATTGTACAGCGCCGCTCATGCCAACCTGAAGAGAGGCATTAGGACTGCAAAAGGTGAATATAAGAGGAGGATAGAGGAACATCTAAACAACCCAAGGCAAGTGTGGCGGGGCATACAGACCATCACCAACTACAAAGGCTGTGCTGTGACACCCGGGAACTTGGATGCGGGACTGGCAGAGGAGCTGAACAGCTTCTTTGCCCGCTTTGAGTCTCACACACAGCATCCAACCTCATCACTCCAACAACCACCACAACTTCCACCAGCCCCCCAGCACACCTCCTCCCCCCCACTTACTCTTAAGGCACAGGACGTGTGGCGGGTGCTCTGTGCAGTGAACCCCAGGAAGGCTGCAGGTCCAGATGGAGTACCTGGGAAGGTGCTCAAGGCATGTGCTTGGCAGTTATCACAGGTCTTCACAGACATATTCAACATATCTCTGCAACAAGCTGTCATCCCAGCCTCAATGACTTCCGCCCCATTGCACTCACTCCAGTCATCACCAAATGCCTAGAGAAACTGGTTTTGAGACACATAAAAGCCTGTCTCCCCCCCACCCTGGATCAGCACCAGTTTGCATACCGGACTAACAGATCCACCGAAGACGCCATAGCCATCGCTCTCCACTCAGCGCTGAGTCACCTGGAGCAACGGGAGAGCTACATCAGGATGCTTTTCATTGACTTTAGCTCAGCTTTTAATACAATTATACCGGACATTCTGATCCCTAAGCTAACCGACCTGGGGGTCCCACCACCCACCTGCTCCTGGATAAAGAACTTTTTGGTCAACCGACCCCAGCAGGTGAAACTGGGTCCTCACCTCTCTTCTTCCCGCACTCTCAGCACTGGCTCTCCACAGGGCTGCGTGCTGAGCCCATTACTCTACTCCCTCTACACATCCCACTGCAGTCCCGCCCACCCAGAGAACATCATCATCAAGTTCGCTGATGACACAACGGTGGTGGGGCTGATTACAGGGGAAAACGAGGCGGCCTACAGAGATGAGGTCCTGAAACTTGGCGAGTGGTGTGCATCAAACAACCTGGCACTAAACATCAACAAGACTAAGGAACTCATCCTGGACTTCAGACGGAAGAAAGCCGCCCCTGCCCCCCTGTACATCAACGGTGGATGTGTAGAACGAGTGGAGTCCTTCAAATTCCTTGGCATCCACATCTCTGCAGACCTCTCCTGGTCAGCCAACACCACAGCTCTGGTCATGAAGGCCCAGCAGCGGCTACACTTCCTGAGGGTGCTCAGGAAGGAACAACTAAAACCTCAGCTGCTGGTTACCTTCTACCGCTCCACCATCGAGAGCCTGCTGACCTATGCTGTGACAGTGTGGCACTCCAGCTGCACGGAGGCTGATAGGAAACGACTGCAGAGAGTGACAAACACTGCAGAAAAAATTATCGGCTGCCCTCTGCCCTCTTTGACTGCCATCTACAACTCCCGTTGTCTCAGCAGGGCCAGAAACATCCTGAGGGACACCACCCACCCCGGCTTCCATTTCTTCAACCTGTTGCCCTCAGGCAGGCGCTTCAGGTCAATACGGACCAAAACAAACAGACTCAGGGATAGCTTCTTCCCCAAAGCTGTCACCTTACTAAATCAACATCTAGTACTCCAGTTGTACTAATGTATTGTATATGTATGTATGTGTTATTTATGTGTCCACTTTACGGAGCTGCTCTCCAATTTCATTGTACTGTGTACAATGACAATAAAGGCTTTCAATTCAATTAAATTTCAATTCAATTCAATTCAATACATGTCCCTAATTTTACTAATGCCTTTCATTGCCCATGATTTGAACCCTGAGTCGTTTTTTTCCTGCTGGAAATTGGTGGCTTCCCCAAATTGGGTCAATACCAAAATGTGATTGCACTTTATGCCAAACTATGATGGAGTTTTTAACAAATGGGGTTAACAAATGAGATATTGGAACTTGCTGTTGTCCAGATTCATACAGAAGAATCCATGGGTTATTTTCAGTTCAAAATATCTGACCACAGACCAATAAGTATTTCACAACCAAAAACTTCTCCCCAAGCATTGCTTCTTAGAGCACTACCCTCACATGACCTGATGTTTCGGTGCCCTAGTTGGAGTCTGGACCATCCGGTTTGAAGGAAAACACTTTTTTTTTAAAAGGTTGCCCATCACACCAAGTGTCAAGAAAATTCCAGATGATGTATCACAGACACTCATCACATCCACAGAAACCTGCTGTGCCTGTTGAAGTTCTCAAAGATGATGTATCATTGCCTCTCCTGCAGATGTACCCAAACATGGCATAAGTAAACATGGCTAACACCGCAGTTTGCAAGGGGATTAATTACAGAAAGGAAATAATAGTCATCTGTGGATTTACTGATGGCTTATCTGAATTCGGAAAGATAATACAGATATATGTACTTAAGGACACACTGGATTTCAGTTGGAATGTATATGAGACTAGATATTGTCTGGGATTTGGGGTATTGTAATATGACTATGGCATAAGTGTTGTCTTCTAGGGTTTAAAGGCTACATTACGGTAATTTTCCATGCTACTATCAGCATGTCACTGATTTTTGCCTGTGGATTTCTCAGTGTTTGCTTCAGTGTCCTGTTGGTCTTATATCTGATTCAAGTAAGTTGGTTAATTCCTAATTTGAGTGCTTATAATTTATACAGATTTAATGACTTTAGATTTTTTATTTGATCTTTTCAGACTGACACATTTGGATGATGGCTGCACCACTAAAACTGCAAATTATCCTTGGTTCCAACAACGCTTAAAACCAGTGGTGGACCGTGCCTTTCACACCTAGGCCTTCAGTAGTGCTCCGTCCGAATCAATTCACCCCTCAATAACTATTTTATGGTTATAGAAATCATCTTATTATGTAGAAATACAGTAGGGATGTTCCGATCCAGCTTTTTTATTAAAATTGAAAGTTATTTAGCTACTTACTTAGTTGTCAGACTCACGTTGAACAGGGATTTACTCTGATAACAACTTAATGGTTAGGACACACCTGTAGGTTAGGAGATGCTAATGCTCGTGTTGGATCGGACTTTTAAAAAAAATGGATCTGGATTCTCGATTGGCAATTTCTCATGCCGGGCGATACGATCCAAATATCGGATCGAGACAAGCCTAAAATACAGTATAAAGATCAGAGTTGCACAAGTCTTCTAAAAATGCAGCTACAGCTACAACACCCCCCTCCCCCCAAAAAAAACAAACAAACAAAAAACATCAATAATATCCTCATAAACTTGCAATATTATTTAGGAAAAAAGAAACATTTCACACAAGTGGCCCTGACAGTAAATCTGCCACCAAATCAATTTCTTCTCCTCCTTCAGCCATTGTGGGGTGATAAAATTGCTATTACACCAAAACAACTATATTTGGGTTAGTTTGCTAGCTTTAGCTGGTACGCTATCTAACTATCCAATCAGCGGGCGTGAATACGGTGACGTTCCCTAAGGCCTGCTAGAAGGCCCTGGTGTCACCAACTTAAAATCTGATATCTGATTGGTTAAAGCAACAGCGCACTCGACATGTATTTTCTGTGGGGGGGGGGGGGGGGGGGGCCTGCAGAACGGATTGTGAAGGCCTCCAGGCAGACATCTTTGACTTTGACCGTGCCTAGCAACAAATTATGGCTGAAATGTGATTGGTTAAAGGCTTTAATATGAAAATACATTTCTGGAAGCAGCACAACCAGGGGAAAACCTATGAAAGGAAGTGGACAGACTAGTTAGAGATATTTAATAAGTATTCATGGACAAAATGTAATTAACATAAATCTGTGATTCAGATATTTTCTTAGGCCTGCAGAGAAGGCCTTGCAGGCCCTGACGGCCCACCACTGTTAAAAACTGACCATAGAATCAGGCTGACCATAGAATAAGGCTTTATTCACATATTCTAAATGTGATTAAATCTCAGTTTGATGTAGTGGGGGACATTAGACTCCAGTACATGGACAGTGACTTTGATAATGAGTTTGTTAACCTTAACCAAATGTGCGACACTCAAGACAAGAGCACAGTTAAAATCTTCCACTTCTGTCAAATACTCTAAGCCTCAGCCGAGGCAGCATGAACCAGATAGAGGAAGGAAAATCCTCATCATCATCTTCCGACACAATAATCCTCTCTTCTGATTCACAAACTGCTCGATCTCATTGGCCCACAGAATTCCAAATCCCAAACTTTACATATTTTGTGGAGATGCAATTTCGAAGTGCAAACCAGGCCTTCATATCAAACGGAATTCTTCTGTCCCCTGGTCATAAACCTAAATCGGACATATTGGAAAGTCTGGCAGAGGAAATCATCAGTTTCAAAGCATATCCCCTCAAACTTAGAAATTGAATCTGTTGCTGAAGCTTTAATCAAAGCCCATCCATATTTAAGAGAACAGAGCTCCTTCAGTGGGTTCTAAGGCTGGAAAATAAAGCATAAACTATAAGATAGCCAACTACAGGACAAAGCTTATAAACTTGGGGTGTCCAGAACTGAGCATCAATTCCCTCTAGCATATACAGATAAATGTCTGCCTGCCTATGGTGTTAAAAAACTGAGGAAGGCAGAGGAACCTTTTTGTACTCCTTATCCTGCTGGACAGACCGAGGACAGCCTCAAAGGTGAAAGATTGTTGTTGTTATCTGAGGTCAAGAAGAGACATAATGATAAAGTTGTCAAAGAAAAAAATGGCCTAGACCCTGTCACACAGGAGGCAGAAAGTCGTCAGAGACAAGCCCATGGTCACGGAATTCAAGATCCGATGGCCAGGATTTTTCACTGTGGCAGAGGGAAATGCTTCCTCAACATTTTTTAAAAATTTGTTTTGTAATTCTGCTATATTGGATAGAGAAAGTGTGGAGACAGGAAGACAAGTTATGGAATTTCAATGTCTTTAGTAAATGGAGTAGGAACCCTGGTTGACAAAGTGAACTGCAAGACCATGCAGCACAAAAATTGTTTGTGATTGATTAGATATCTTGTTGACTTTTTGAAAAATAAGCTGCAATGTTAAAAATGTTAATATCTCAGGTTTTTTCCTTCCTTAGTACAGAAATAAGTTGACAGCAATAATAACAACACAACCATATTGTTATGGTTTGACTTGTGCAGCTATAAATAAACTGAGAACTGCAAGCCTGTTGTATTGGTATACAACAATATTGACGAATCCGGGATATTTTGATTGTTTATACTGCATCATGGTGGTTTATAATTGTTTATGTTGGATAACAATGCTGCAACACAAGTTGACGTGTTTGTTAATTTAATCACATTTCAGGGTATTCCCTCCATAGGTGGATTAATGACCGGGCCTACCGGGCCCAGGCCCAGGGGGCCAGAGGCCCCAAGGGGCCAGGCCAACTTGGCCCCGCGGCCGCGACCCAAG